CGCCAGGTCCACCTCCAACAGATCATGCTGAAGCTGATCTACCAGATCTCTCTTCTGTTCCTGCTGAATATCACGACTTGGCTCAAGTATTCAGTAAAACTAAAGCCTTGTCCCTGCCTCCTCACAGACCATATGACTGTGCTATAGATCTGCTACCCGGGGCTCCTTTGCCCAATAGTCGACTTTACAACATCTCCAAACCAGAGAGGGAGACCATGGAAAGATATATACAGGAGTCGCTAGCAGCTGGCATAATCCGCCATTCCTCCTCCCCTTTAGGGGCAGGATTCTTTTTCGTGGGGAAGAAAGACGGATCCCTGAGACCCTGCATCGACTTCAGAGGGCTGAACCAAATCACGGTAAAAAACAAATACCCTTTGCCACTCCTCTCCTCTGCCTTTGAGCCAGTTCAAGGGGCCAAGGTGTTCACTAAACTCGATCTTAGAAATGCCTACCACTTACTCCGTATCAGGGAAGGGGATGAGTGGAAGACAGCCTTTAAGACTCCTTTAGGCCACTTTGAGTATTTAGTGATGCCCTTCGGTCTAACCAACGCACCAGCGTGTTTTCAGGCTCTCGTTAATGACGTCCTAAGGGACTTTCTAAATGTGTTTGTGTTTGTCTATCTCGATGACATTTTGATTTTTTCTAAGAATCTCCTCGAGCATAGGAACCATGTCCGTCAGGTGTTGCAGCGCCTCCTGGAAAACAAGCTGTTTGTAAAAGTGGAGAAATGTGAGTTTCACCAATCATCAGTCTCTTTCCTGGGTTACGTCCTCGAGGGTGGACAGGTCAGACCAGCGGAGGAAAAAAATCAAGGCAGTTTTAGAATGGCCCACACCGACTACTCGGAAACAACTTCAAAGATTTCTCGGGTTCGCCAATTTCTGCCGACGATTTATTCGTAATTATAGTCAAACCGCCCTACCCTTGACAGCTCTAACCTCAACCAAGACTCAATTCAGCTGGACTCCAGCAGCTAATGAAGCCTTTTCCCAGTTAAAGAGTCTTTTTGCTAACGCGCCCGTTCTCATCCAACCTGACCCCACCAAACAATTCATAGTCGAGGTAGATGCTTCTGATTCAGGAGTAGGGGCCGTTCTTTCTCAGCTCTCAGAAAGTGATCACAAGATTCATCCGTGCGCCTATTTCTCCCGCAGACTGTCACCAGCAGAGAGAAATTATGATGTCGGGGATCGGGAGCTACTTGCCATCAAATTGGCTTTAGAAGAGTGGCGACATTGGCTCGAGGGTGCAGTTCTTCCTGTTGTGGTTTGGACAGACCATAAAAATCTAGCTTACCTCCAGTCAGCTAAAAGACTCAATCCTCGGCAGTCACGTTGGTCTTTATTCTTCTCTCGGTTTAACTTGTCCATCTCTTTCCGCCCAGGATCCCGTAACGTGAAGCCGGACGCCTTATCCCGACTCTTCTCCCCAGATGACTCTGAGAAGGGGCCTGCCCCCATCCTACCTCCTAGTTGCTCGGTAGCCACAGTGACCTGGGAGATCGAGGATCTTGTTAAACAAGCACAACAGTCTGAGCCTGATCCAGGGACCGGCCCACCCAACAAGGTGTACGTACCTACAGCCACTCGTGCCCGTGTCATCAGTTGGTTGCACTCCTCGAAGTTTTCTGCTCATCCAGGTATCAGCAGAACGGTAGCTCTAGTAAATCGACGTTTTTGGTGGCCGTCTGTCCAAAAGGACGTTAAAGATTATGTTTCAGCCTGTTCCATTTGTGCTCGGAATAAGTCCTCCCATCAGCCTCCTTCTGGACTTCTTCAACCCTTACCTACTCCCAAACGACCCTGGTCGCATGTAGCAGTCGATTTCATTACCGGACTGCCTGTTTCCAAAGGTATGACCACTATTCTGACAATCATAGATCGGTTTTCTAAAGCTTGCCACCTAGTGGCATTGAGGAAGCTTCCTTCGGCCTTTCAAACAGCTCAACTTCTAGTTAAACATGTATTTAGACTACATGGTATACCTTTTGACATCCTATCCGACCGTGGACCACAGTTCACTGCAAAAGTTTGGAGAAATTTTTGTCGTGCTCTTGGTGCTAAAGTGTCACTCACCTCTGGTTTTCACCCACAGTCAAACGGGCAAGTCGAACGAATGAACCAGGAGTTGGAGGCCACTCTCCGATGTCTGACCACTACCAATCCGGCCGACTGGAACACTTGTCTTCCCTGGGTAGAGTATGCACATAACTCCCATGTGTCCTCAGCCACTGGGTTATCCCCTTTCGAGGTCTCTTTAGGCTATCAACCTCCACTGTTCCCGGCTGACGAGAAGGACATATCAGTTACTTCAGTCCGGCACCATATTCGACGATGTAGGGTCATCTGGAACAAAACTATCTCTGCCCTTAACCGCACCGCTGAACAAAACCGTCATTGGGCTGACCGTAAGAGGAGGGCTGCTCCTACATT